CATATTGAGGTGAAAATCTTCACAATAAAATGATATAATGATGAAGGTGTAGCTTCAGTACTATTGTGACTCCCATAATATTGCTGGAAAAAATGATCTCATAATTAGAGGCGCCGAAAAACGTAGAGCTCCATCGTCAACCACAAGAATTCCAGATTTGACTAAATGCTGATCACTCGCATCGAATGGATCGAAAAGAGTATCCCATTTAAGTAAATATTTTCGCATATTTTCAACTGTTCAACAGATAGATCTCTGACTTTTAATGAAGCACGACATCCGTCAATATACAAGTTGAAATTATGAGAATTTAGGTACGCTTCCATGTTAACGTGTTTTCACGAATCCGTCGCTCCATAGCCTCTTTTGTATATCGCAATATATGAAAAACCAAATCAACATGCCCCTCTGTCGGTATTTGAATATATTCAATAAATTTTGAAACGTCATAAGTGTCTAGTCAAAAGTATTTTTTGCTAAATTTTTCAACATATTCTTTTAACTCTTCGTGGTTAAATACGATGTCCAAAAGACTTTTACATTTTGATGGTGGTATCTCAACAGGAGTCGAAAGCCCTGCGGAGTTGGCACTATGATATCCATACGCTCCGAACATAATAATATAAATGTTTGTCATCTCTTGAAGACAACCCTTGACAGTTTTCCAAAATAGATCAGCACTCGATTTCTTACTTTCATCAATTCCACACCCTTGTTTGTATATCAATTGAACTTCGTCCAATATTAAAATTGTTGGAACTTGTTGGCACTGTCCTATCCATTCAATCCAACTTACATCGGTAATTCTCTTCCACATCTCTCCAAACGTCTTCCAATTACAATCCACTCCCACAACCGACCCCCAAAGCATCGAAACGGATACGTATCAGTTCATTTCGTAGACATAACATTTCACCGACAAAAATTCATAGACACTTATTTCGCAGACAAGTTTATTTCATCGACAATTTATTTCACAGAAGCTCATTTATAGACAAATTTTTTTATAAATTCCACTAACCTTAATTCTAATTCAAACCTGACCTTAACGACAATCAAAGACCAGAATTATTTTGTCGGTGAAATAAGTTTCGGTGAAATGGAAAATAAATGTCGGTGAAATAACATGTCGGTGAAATGTTATTTCTACAAAACGAGCGTCGGTGAAATGAGCTGAACCGATCGAAACTCTTATAATCCTATACTTTGAGTAATATTCAGATGAGTTAACCAAATAATATTCCATAAGTTGGGCTAATGACGTTTTTCCAGAGTAGGGAGGCGTTCGCACAAGTATGACCTTTTTTATAAGATCTTCGACCAACGAAAACACGACTTTGGATCTATAGCTAATGTCAGGATCGTTAAAAGATATACCCTCAAAAGTTTCATGATCCGCGGAATAAGGTAGCATTGTACCACCAAGACCATCTAGTAAAGAGTAGTGGTTAAAATATAAGCATAGCGATTAAAAATAACTTATACATACTTTGCCGGGACAGATAATTAATATTGCGATTTTGTATATTAATACGCTCTTGGTCTATTTTTTCATCAAAAAAAAACAAAAATGGAAATGATGAGTAAATCAATAATAAAAAAATGTATAAATTTTTTTTTGAGGGAAAACATTAATAAATACTTACCAGTTGTGGGCACTTGTATGATGATATTAATAATCTGTGGTTGTTGTTCATAGAAGTCCTCTGGAATTCCATCTGCCGGAAACAGCCTTATGCCTCCCTAGTCTTGTTCAATGTCAATTTTACAAGACACATCGTCAAGTATTTTTAGTCTATCTTCATTGTTTATGGGAATATTAACTTTCCACAATGTTAACGTGTTGGAGGCGAAATGATCCAAATCAGGCTCCTTCTCATTCTTGATGGCAGACTTAAGACGCGAAATGGTTGAAATATTTTCGGTAATATCAACCACAAAAAGTTTCTCTTTGGCAGGAACTTCACCCAGAACTAAACAAAACACCATGATATTGGGATGTCTGAAATGCAAAAATAGAGAGTTAAAAAAAAATCAAGGTTTAACCAATTTTTCAGTAAAAATATAAAATAACGACCTCAGCCGATGACCGTTTGGACGAGTAGACATTTTATGTGTATATAATATATATTGCCAAACCCTCACTTGGAGTACAGGAGTATTTATAACTTAAGACAATTACACAATTTTCGGTCACACATAATGACGGGACTAAGGATACTAGGGGTCTGCAAATGCCCGTGCCCGGTACATTGGCACTAGGCCGGGCACTAGTGCCAAATGCCATGTCTGTGCCTCTATAGGCATAAAAGTGCCAGGCACTATTAATGGCATGGGCACAAAGTGCCAGGCACTAACAAAGGCATGGGCACAAAATGCTAGGCACAAGGCGCCGGGTACAAGTGCTGGGCAAAGTGCCAGGCACAATTAAATAATAAATATCAAATTTCTGTTCCTGTGCACATGTCCATGCCAATTTTTTGTGCCTTTGCCCATGCCCATATACATGGGTGCCTAAATTGCCCATCTTAATAAAAAGTAATTATGGCATTTAGGCAACCGAAATTAGCTTATTATAGTGCCGAAATTAAATTTCATATTTGCCGAAATTTTTGCCAAAATTTTTTGAACTCTTCATCAAAACTCATCATATAATATAGTTATTTCGATGGGTTTCATATAAAAATTTTGCAATGCCGAAATGTTTGCCAAAAACACGATTTTTCAAAAATAATTTAGGTACCCATGTATACATGCCCATGCCAATTTTTTTGTGCTCGTGCCCACCCATGCCTAGATTTTTTGTTGGGCACAGGCACGAGCCCGGTTGCAGACCCCTAATTGTAATGAAAAAATTTATTTATTACAATAATGATACGTATTTGATTTATAAATGAACTATAATAATAATATATAGTATAGAAAACAGTGGAGAACTTTTTTTTCATTGAGATAAAAAACTGGGTTAATAACAAACTAAATGAAGCATTTTCTAGAAAAACGTGTAAAGTATAATATATCTTAGCTAATACATAATTCGTTAAGAAAATGAAATATCAATATTAATATTTTGATTTGTAGGATGTAATCTACTTATAACTTAATACTTTTTCAAAATCAGATAATTTTAATAATTCTAATGATATTTTTCGTCATCTTTCCATTTTGTAAAAGTATTATAAATATTTACTGCAGCTGGTCGATTTTCTGAGCATTTATCCCAACATTTTTTATTAAACTTACATAGCATTGTGGTGTACCCTTGACAATAGTTGGCCTTAAGTTGTTGTTACATATTTCTATTTGAAGTAGTTTATTTTCGATTGTAGTACAGTATACGGGTTTTCCATACATTATCTCCCACATAATCATACCAAACGAGTAAATGTCAGACGCTGTAGTATATGGTTTTTCTTCAAAAATTTCTGATGCAATGTACGGTAAAACTCCATAAATTTCTCCGGATCCCATCGTAGATATTATATTGGCTTTTATTGAAAGCCCTAAATCCGCAATATACGCATTATATAAATTATTGGGGTGTCTAATACATATCTAATTACAAACATAGTGCAGGTCATATAGTGATCAATTTTTTTATAATTAGCGGTGGCGTAGTGGTAGCGTAAGTAGTAAAAACATATGAAATTTAGATTGCAATAACTCTTGAACAAGC